GTGTTTCATCCCCGGCAGTGGACCCTTTATAATCGTTTGATAAATTTCTTATACCCTCTCCTTTATTTTTATATACCAAGTCTCCAAATTCTTCACCTACAGCGGCCACAAAATTATTTGCTGACCGAAGATCAGACTTCGTGGAACTGATTAAAAGTTCAACCATATCATCCTAAATATTATAAAATCATGTAAATCTTTCATCACATTTATTATCAATCAATTTGGTCAAAACACTCACCATAGAAAGAATCGTAAACATTGTAGTCAGATCTCCAAAAGCTTCATGTAAAGCGCCAGTTTGTCCGTCAACTAACCATTTATCTTGAAGAATGTCTAGAAATGCGTGTCCAGCCTCATGTGCAACAATATCGAGTGAACGACAAAGATATAAAGGTTCATTATCTTGATTAATATAGAAAAATTTAAGTGATCCATCTTCGCGATCATAAAAAGCATTGGCATCTTGTCCAGCATGAGGAATGATTGTTAACTTTTTGTGTCCCCATGGCTTGTTCAGTTCTGGTATTCTACCATCGAGATATTCCAGATCGCTCATCAATAAGTTAAACACCTAATGAATAATATATATTTACAAATTATTACATTACTATATTAACACAAATATAATACGACAAAATGATTTAGCATACATACGTATCGACAAACACCATAGCAGTGAACGGCATCAAATCTCGTATGAGAAAATGATTCTGGGATAGTTGATGGTGTGTCTTCAAACTCGAGCAAAAAATTACCATGAGGATCTGGATATATTGGGGGACAATTGGCTTGAACGTCAAACCATGAATCGCTTGGTCCAACAGTGATATCAGGGTTAGGTAGATGGAGTTCTCTTACGCCAATTTTTTTAACAGATGGATCCGCTTTCCAGATACGCACACGGGTTCCTTTAACAGGAGGTTTCGTGACCGCAATTAAAGCTTGTGAAAATCGCGATGCCAGGTATTGTGCTGACCTAAAATTTTTGAGATAGATAATCGGTAATTATTAATTACAAGTAATTCAAACGCCAATTTACAGTATACACGTGATATAAATTAACTTGCCGTGGCCAGATGTTTTGTTCGTAGCCAAACAAAGAAAAAGCAAGCTTTTGCGTGTTTTTCAAATCATTATCGGCATATATAGTTGGCCCTTCAGTCGCTGGGGCAAAACGTAAATATTTGCCACTGTGTGCCACGATTGTAGCCTTTCCTGCAAAATCTAGTTTTATGTAATTATATCGTTATTTCGTTATTTAATTTGTAACTTTAAATAATATGTAGTAAAAACTTCATTTATTTTTATTTTTTTTAATACCTGGATGAGGAACGAACAGAAAAAGTTGGTCAGATCTTGGTATAACCCCAACATTTTCGAAATATTCGCCATCCGAGAATCCTATAGCACCGTTAGATTGATCTATTATTCCCGCAAACTTGTTTTCCGTGTTTTTCCAAGTAACTAATGGGACAGTTACTGCATCAAGTATAAAATGTTAAGCTTTTTGTCTGTTTTACTTTACACAAATAATTGAAATTTTTTTTTTTAATCACCAAGTGTGAGGTTTTTTACTTTATCAGGATATTCAATATCTTTATTATTTCTTGTATATCCAATCGAATATGTATCGGTTTCTCTATTTTCAATAAGAAGAACGGCCGTTGATGACCAACTATTATCGGGCCTGCGACAAATTTAAATAAATCAATTTAAAATAAAATTAAATAATCAATTTAAACAAAAATCATCAAAACTTAATTTAATTTAATTAAATACTTACTTATCATTCATTATAAAACTATTTTTTGACTGAATAGAAAAATATTTTTTGTATCGTTTATTATATAACGCATAGTACATTCCGTAGTTTTCTGGAATTTAATTAAATTTTATCAAGTTTAAATACTTTAAGTAAATGCTAGCAATGGGATATGATAAATTAAATGTTAATATCCAGAAGTTTACTAACCAATTCTCCAAAGTTGTGCAGAATTTGTAAAATCATAAATTTCCAGGTTAATAGTACCATCCTCCTTCACAGTAAGTGCACGCTTATAATTATCAATAAATGCAAAGTAACGATAGATTTCTCCACTTAACGCTTCACAATTTTCAACACAGGAAAGAGTTTTGTTTTTTGGATCAATTGTTAACGGATGTTTAATTGAAAGATCTTTGACCTTCCAATAAATTTTCGCTATTTGTTGAAGAAATATACATATGTTGAAACGCATATACTTTACTAACAACGCTTTTCAAATTAGTGTGATCATCGATGTTCTATAGAATATATTGGATGTTCTATAGAATAGGTAGGTAAACTCCGCTGAATATATTAAAAATTAATGATTAGCGGAGCATATTTTTTATATTGCCCACCTATTCTATAGAATATCCAAATTTTCCTGTTATAAAAAAGAGCACTGGGAATTTTATACTACTAGAGATAGTCTAATTTTTATTTAGTGCCGCAGAATGAAACTAGCAAGTGAATATTTGGGTTTTCTGTACGTAGAAACTTATCCTATTATGTATATCAACTCTTTTTAACAGGTGAAAACCTTACTATATTTTCATGCAAGTCAAGTCTTGCAAGTTAGTTAATTATTAGAGTTAGATTGCCTTTGCGATGGGCGACGATCATCAGGTGATTATAATAATTTAAAAAGCGCAATAAATATTAAATAAATGCTAGAAGTAATATATACCATATTTTCCTTTCAATGCAGTTTCTGGCCCCCAAGGACTTTGGGGTGGATAAGGACTATTTTTATCATTTAAATGTTTAATCCTAGATCCAATTCGATGACAATGTTTTCCTTGACTAAAAACATTTTCCCTAGACCATCCATGTAATGTATCAAAAAAGTCCGAAATATATAAAGATAAATTGGTATTAATATCTCCAATAGCTTTAGAATGCATATCCCTTGACCAAGTTCCATTACTGATTGCTGAAATAATGTTAGTTACTTCTTTTCCATATTGTTCTAATTTCTCGGGTGTCGATCTAAACGCATTTGCTAAATCATTGGTTATAAAATTTGAAAGTTTTTCGGTCCAATCATTTGAAATATGAAATATTTTCGATTCATCCAAACGTTCAAACAATTTTTTTAATTCGGTTTTATGAAAGTTTTGAACAATACAATTTGGTGCAGGTTTACACAATCCTCCTTTCGAATCCACGCCATTTGACTGGGTAGAGTCATCATCGGTACTTTTTGTAAAAGGAACAAGTTTTTTGATAAAATTGAGGAACTCCTGATTTTTCGATGCCAGCATTAATGAATTTATTTTATTGGAACGCGATATTTAATGCTCTTTGATTATCTTGTCAATTTGTCTTTGACATATGCAAAGAATATTTTATATGGCGATTTAGATCGGTAACGTCTTTCATTTATTTATCTTTCATTTATTTATCTCATTTATTCAAGATCTAAGATTCTTTTTTTAGCATTTCCTTTGGAAAATCACTAACACAACATCATCAATCGACTATGAGTCATAAATTTGTCTGCCGTGACCCGTTACATTTTTATGCTGAAAATGTTTTGTAATACGTGAGTGTTAATTTCTTTACTCCTTACGTATAAATATTTTTTCAGAAAAAGATGTTCCTGATGACCTCAAGCAACAAGAGATTAAGACAAAACTCAATCACTTTATGGTCATGTGTAAGATTCATTAAAATTGTGATCTAATTTATTGTTTGATGATCCCTGTTAAAGTTCTTGATCATTGATACCCTCACACTTAAGAATTAAGGGTTCATTCCTAAAAAAGAACAAATCAAGCTATAAAGGAACTAAAGGATATCTATAGCATATATTGTTAAGGGTTTATATTGTCTACTTCTTAGAAGTGAACAGGTGAAATGAACTGGTGATCTTAGTATTAGACTGCGCCCTCTCCTTCCAGATGTGGTATTATATTTTGTGACGTTTTACAGATTGCATGTTGCCATTGTGTATTTTTTACCCCGAATGTCGATTGGGTTTTTCTTTAACAGGCTTTCTTCCTTGCCTTGTTTTTATAAAGCTTTTTTCGACTCGAATAAACTGATTTTTTTTTTTTTTTTTCCCTGATATATGTAATAATCCCTTTTTTTTTTTGGTTAGTCACGAATTTTCTTTATTAACCTGACTTTTTTGATTTCGAGTATAAAATTTTTGACGATTTTTTTATGATATGATACTAGAAAACCATCACAATATATCCAATAATAAAGCTTTACGTATCTGCAGCTTATCCCTTGCCCATAATCAGTCACCATCCAACTCCCGCGCCTTACCCTGCTACCGTAACGTTCTGCGCGCAGTTAAAAAATTTGTTCCGCTGTTACCAGTATTACGTAGTTTTTACGAAATTTTTTTTTTTCCCGAAACAAAAAAAATTATTTAAACACCGAAAATCATCATTTAATCAAATGAAACCGTTGAACTTGTTTAATTCTAATTCGCAGCCGTCATTCGAAACTGTCAATAATAATCACTGGGATCTCTTAACCTCCTCGTTTTACCATACTTTATACAATTCTCTTCCCTTTCGCCTTTTGGTCTTTGGAAATCAAAACTTACCAACTCATTATTACATATATTACTTTTCACCGATTTATACCAATCTCAAGCAATATTCGATAACAAATTTATTACTTGCTTATACTTTACCTCTACTTT